ATCCATGTCCGGTAGATGGGATGTAAAGTCCATGTCGGGGAGATGCGACTTGAAGTCCATGTCTGGCAGATGGGATTTAAAATCGATGTCGGGCAGGTGTGCCTTCAAATCAATGTCCGGCAGATGAAAGTCCATGTCTGGTAGATGGGCGCCGAGGTCGGGCAGGTGCGAGCAGACGTCCGCGCGGATGGCCTGCAGCATGTCGCGCGCAGTGGAAATGCACTCTAACGCATCCCTCGACTCGAACAAAGAGAGACGGCGCTCGAGGTCGGCGAGGTAGGAGAGAACGAGGAAGCGCAGAGAGGCCAGGGCCTGTGCAGGGGATGCAGGAGACAAGTCGAGGGCCTCTAGGGAGAGCGGGAGGGGACGGCACGGCGGGAGGCGGGGCGGGGCGCGCCGGGGGAGTGGGGCGGACATGCGGCGACGTCGCAGTGGCGGGCGTTCTGCAGCGTCGAGCATGGTGGAGATGGGAGTCGGTAAAGGAGCGAGTGGAGCGCGTCCGAAATTTCAGATCCCCGCCAAGTTGGCACAGTGTTGGCACGTGCGTCCGGCCCGGGTCACCGTCTTTCAACCAGAACTCCTTCAGCGGCTTACATGTCTCGATAACTATCATGTTGCATGAACGTTTGATGTTCGTGCATGCTTTCCTTCACCCCATGATATCTCCTGGTACCTCTCGCCAAGACCCGTCAAGACCCGTCCCGCTCGGTGCTCGCTTCCTTCTCCGTCGGCCGAGGCTCGCTTCCCACTTTAGTTCCGAAACTCCATTCTCTAGATCCGATTCTCCCACTCAAACCCCCTCCAACGTTGTCTCCTTAGATGAACGGTCATCGCATCCATACGGTGTTTCGACCACCTTAACTTTCATGAGGAGATGTGAGTTCGTGCGCATTTCCTTGGTTGAATATTGCTCGAGACGAGAATTCGAGTGCGTCTTGGCACTCGATTCTGCAAACGATTCAGAGTTCCGAATCGCGACAGAATATTCGAATGCAATTGTCCGCCCCGTCGACTCTGCGTCTCTTCACCATCAGGGTCGATACATCATGAGAATCGACACGAGATTCCTCCTCCCCCAGCCTCCAAGTCGAAAACACCGATTTGTCGATTTCAAGATCATGAATTCTCGTCGACTTTGAGTCTATTGTATTTTTTCATTCAATTTGACAAGGGGTATGATGCGTGATATCTGGAACATATTCGACACTTCGACATGGCCCAGGTTGGACCGTGACAGCATCAAAAATTTCGACACTGTCCGAACGATACAGAGACATCATACTAGTAGAATCGTCTAGGATTTTTTGCAGATGCAGTGAGAACCAGCCAAATGCCTCGCGAATGGGTTCTCCAAGCGATTTCATGGAATTTTACTCAATTTATGCTTGTATAAAGCTAAAAATCGAGAAAGCACAACCTATGGGGTCAGGTTCGATGCAGGGGATGCACGAGGGATTTATTGGGGATTTTCGGCCATTTAGACGATTTTTGTAAACCGTAGGACCAATTCGACATCTACCCTTGTGACGCGGACTGTCGAATTGAATGAAATAATACAGTAGAATTGACGCGTCACACGTGAATCGTGCGGACGACAAATTTGCTCAACTCTGATCTCCCCTCAAGTTCTTCCGGCGCCATGGATTGGTAGTGCGGAGTCCGAAGGTCGTTTGAAGGTCCGAGTCGTGCGAAGTCCGAATCAGTGGCAGTGTACAGAAGGTGTCGGTAAGCGATGCCAAACAAATCCTGCGTTACGCCGCGATGTTGCTCTCCATGTTTCGCCCGGCGCTTAGACGCGTCAATCGCCTCGGGATTCCCATTTCAAGCCCTGGACTGTCTGTACCTCAGCTCAGGCAGAGGAGGCAGTATGTTGCATCTTCCCCGGAGCCCGAGTCACCCGCTGCTTCAAAGGCCCAGAAGGCCACCCCGAAGGCCCCAGAGGCCCCAAAGGCTCCCGGGCCAACTACTTCTCCAGAGTTGCCCACTGCCCCAAAGCCCACACAGTTCTCTTATGACAGGAAAAAAAACCTGGTTTGACCCGCTTCTTCCTTCGTTTGGGCTCCCGGTTCAACGATTTGTGACAGCCAATCCTCCGCCCACTCCCTGCGGCACCGCCGGAACCATTGACGACACCACTAGTTGAATCCGATTTTCCGGTGTACCTCAAACCATTATATACTCGTGGATGGACGCTTGCCGCCTGCAGAATGCCAATGGAGCACGGGAAGGAGACACCCCGGGTGGGCTTCGCCTTGAGCCAGACTTTCCGTTTCCCGTCCACGAAAGACTTGGCAGCGTTCAGTAAAACCACGCGAGATATGAACGTACAGTTCGGCCGGGTAAGTTATCTCTCCATGTTAGCTTTGTGCCTTTTTGACCCGCGGCGCGGCTTCTGCCTAGATTTTGTTTCGGAAAACCCCGAAAGAGCCCAATATCAAATTCATCGCCAGCTTGCTTGCTCCGGAATTGACCCGAGGTCTGGTCCACCTCGCCATCGCGCTGGAAACCGAACACAAGACGGTTGTTGGCGGCGATTTTGCTGTTTGGACTAAACAGACGTGGGTCAGGACGCTTCAGAGGGCACAGAAGATCCTCAGTGATTATCAGCCAGGGCCGCGTCTCTTGGCAGAGCTCGCTCCGATTACGCCTGTAGCCCTTCCTCTCGCGCCGCCTGCCCCCGTCTCCTCGCCGCCCCCGATCACCGAAGCCGACCTCGAAACATATATTAAACCACTCGTAACGAATGGCTGGTCTGTCAGGGGCTTCTCAATGTCTATGGCCGCTCTCGGAGACCATCCAGCTCTGCACCGTATATATTCCTTCCACGACTACGCCTCCGCAAGGGATTTCCTCGACACCGTCATCTCGATTATTCCAGCCCCCACACTCCACTCTTACGTACGTCCTCGTCTTTTTTATTATTGGTTGAGGACTCAGCGCTAGCCCTTACTTCAGCCATGGGTCGGGCTCTGGTTGGAATCCGAGAAGCCTGCGGTGGCGGTATGGTCAATCAGCGAGCTCGCGGAAGGCGCGCCCAAGAAGTATGGAATTTCGTATACCGATGTGCGTTTTGCCATAGAGGTTGAGAGCGAGTTCGCCAAGAACTGGGCAGGACGTGCGCAAAATACCGCCGCTCTTGCTAGGACATTACCAAAGACCATGGAGGAGCTGTGGAATGGCGAAGGAAAAATTGAATAATTAAGTTTTATTTCTTCATCACGCGTCCAACCGAACGGTTTGGAGGGTAATGTGGGTTCAATCTCAATTTATATCCTTCCACGACGATGTTTAAACAAGACATCTGTTCAATTACAGACTCTGCGGTATGGGAGGGTCCTCGTTACCTAGGATGTTAGGATTGGACGAGAAAAAACATACCCGCAGGGAGTCACGAATATTATTACTGTATCAGATTTTTTTATGCGCAGATTTTGTTTACCGCGCGATGAAAAGTTGAATGCCGGTTAACTTTCCAACCAGTCAATATTCAAGTAAGCTTACTCAGGAGAGTTCCTTTTGATTTTCATCCAGTTGCCATAATGCCAATGTTTATTCTTCCTGCGAAATCGATCACCGCACCCGACCTCTGTCAACCACAACCTCATGTTGCCCTCCTTCTGGCCGGCTATCTCGACATCTATTATGTTGCATAAACGGTTGATGTTCATGCATGTTTTCACCTCTCGCCAAGACCCGTCCCGCTCGGCGCTCGCTTCCTTCTCCGTCGGCCGAGGCTCGCTTCAAGTTCATCATGTACTTTAGTTCCGAAATTCGTTCCATTCTCGATATCCGATTCTTCCACTCGAAACCTCTCGCATTCCCTTTCAACGTCGCCTCCGTGGATGAACGGTCATCGCCTCAACGCTGTACATGGATGGCACGAAGTTTCTATGGGGAGGTGGGTTTTTTTTAATTTATTTATTTTTAAGTCAGTTTTATTTCCCCTCTGTCGCGTACGATATGGTAGGGACCTCGCTTGCTCATATGTAAAAGTAGTCTAAAAAAGGTAGCTTGGTATGTAAATATTCATGCGGCATCACTCAGGGCGTGCCTAGCACACCCTCAGCAGGGTCGTCCTGCAATCTAGCGTGGGGAAACCCCGAATGTAAAGTAAGAATAGCAGTAAGTAAGGTAGGGTGCAGAAAATGAAATGTTACGTCGGCGCCGTCCAGGTTAAATCTGCTTTGCGCGGGACCAGTATCGGGGCATAAGGCGCATCAGCGGCTTTGCTCTCTGCTATTGCCTTCGCAAGGCGTTCGCGTGGAGTGGGACCGTCCAGGGGATCCAGCTGGGGGATATCTCCAAAGACTGTGCGGAAGCGCCCGGAGCGGGCTATGAATTGGAAGAGGAGCGGCAGGAGTTTCTCCCGCGTGAGGAGCTTCTCGAGGACGCGCGAGTCGCGTCCGCCGAGTCGATGCAGCTCCTCTCGAGCATTGGTGTGAGCGGGGCAGTGAAGGAGGTAATGTAGGACTGTCTCGTCCTCTTTGTGGCAACATGGGCAGACGGGGGAATCGGCACGTTGAATGCGATGAAGGTGCCTCTGAAGGATAGTGTGGCCGACGCGGAGTTGGAGCAGTATCACCGCCAGTTTGCGCGGCATGAGTTCTGCGAGTTTAAGGTACTTTGAGGAGGGGAAGGTAGGGTCGTAACGTTTGATACGGTGGTGCCGTGAGGATTTTCTCCACTCCTCTGCGACCCGTCGTTTGAGCTGCGCGTTGTATTGTTGTTTGCGTGCAGAACGACTCCACGGGGGGAGGTGGGTTCGACTCCCACCGGAGGCATAAAACGTGTGTGCCTGTATTTTTCATTATTCATTCAACCTTTCCGCACTACTGCCAATCCTTCATCTACATAGCCTACTTCCGAAATCTGACACAAATACAACATTTTGGAGTGGCTGCGTCGCATGGTGCCTCTGGACCTGTTTTTTCTTACCTCACTCTACGTTTTCTACCCCAATGCACACCTACTTAGCATCTCATGTAGCCTTTTTTATGCAAGCCTCTGTAGATTAGTGGCAGATCGCCTCAGAAACATGGCATTGGCGGTGTGTTGTTCTTGAGGAGCCGTGGGTTCAACTCCCACCAGAGACATGAATGCCGTCTATTTTTTGCCCAGCAACTTTCACCCGTAGGCTCCTATTTATCGCTTGATGTAGCTGTTGGAGGGACGCCTTTGTAGATCAGCGGTAGATCGCCTGAAAACTGTGAACATATTTGGCCATTCTTTCGGGACAAGTGGGTTCAAATCCCAGCGGCGGCATACATAGATATCTTCCTTTTTGATTATTAGCTTATTATTGCTCAGATCAACCATCCCGCGGTACTGGTGCATTAAAGAATGTGGTGCTATCCCCGGCAATATGTAATAGCATCCAAGACGGGTTCAATTCTCACTCCGAAAGATCTGTGTATTTATATCTATTTCGAATGGCAGAATGTGGGATGTATTCTTCTAAAAATTGAAGAAGAAGGTTCATTATCCTGAGACTTGGGCCGCAATAGATTTACGCTGGAACGGTTCATCATCTTGTGAGACTCTGTAAACGAGAAAAAGCGAACCGTGGAAAATCCGCCCGCATGTCGCCTTGTCTCTCTTCCCGTTCCAACCTGGAGTGGTTTATCGGCAGGGCCGGGGTTAAATGGGATGGCGATGGAAAATGAAATTAGAAACCTAGAGGCTGTGTTGACGTCGGGTTCAACTTTCTGGATTTTACAGCAATTGGCAGTACCGAAGGCGCGACCAAAAAAATTCCATTTTGAGCTGTTTTTGATCCCCGCGAAAGAATTGCCCATATCTCTCTCAGTTTTCGATGGATTGGGCTGAAAACTAGATAGATCTACTGTACTAAGTCATACAGAATTAGTGATAGAGAGGAATAGATAAAAATACCTTTTCTTTGATGGCCTGGCCACCACGGCCCGCCCGCGCATGTATCCTATTTGGCATGTCTAATCGGGCTGGATTTTTGGGACAAAGTAATAGTAGGGTATACACTGGGTGTGATAGATTCATAAATGTTGAATTATCTTTCCTGGCTGCTGGCTGCTTGTTTCGATACATCTCAAATAGGAAATAATGAATAGACTATATCTACCTGGGCTCTTGCCCAAAACAGTTGGAAAAATTACCCATGCCAACATGGGTCATCACCCTACATTGTGATAGAGGCCCGCTACGTGAGAATGAGTGTCTAGAATACAAATCAGTGTATTGATCGCTCCCAGTATGACGCTGGATGCAGCTGCTGGAACCCTGGCTCATCTGCACTGGGGAAAGATATCGTCTTCTGGGTATTGAAAGTTACAGTCATCTGTTTTTATCGAACGACGTCCGAGTTTAACGTGGCTATGATAAGGTGTCTGTCACCTCAAAACATACTGTAGAGGAGGGTCTATTCAAGTTGCTTGTTACCAATCTGAGAATGCGACGGACAGCTTGAAACGCCACGATCGTCACGGCTGATCTGGCGTGCTCCATGCAAGTTTCAACATGCACCCGAATACTTAGGTTACGCCAGCCGTCATGCAAATAAATTCATCGAGTAAACTGTATACCTAAAGGTGAACCACATCAAGTGGAAAGAAATGATCGAAATTAAACAAAGCTGTCGTCGGAAAGGCGATTTTCAAGCCGGCCCTTTTCGCTCAACGGATTGTTCTGGATTGAACTGTCTATTGATTGTGTGCCGACCTCGAATATCGCTGGATTTATGGCAAAGCTCATCCCAGCGGATTGATTGTAGGCTTGGAATCTGAAACGATTGGAATGTACATGTATTTCCTGTGGTTTCGCAAGCAGATCACCCACGCCCTCCATACGACTATCCCATCACTAAGGACATACTACACAGAATACTCAAGGTCAGATCGTGATTGAGGCGGGAAAGAATCATGCGTACATTAATCAAAGTGATAGCATTGAACAGAGGCGACCATTTCAAAACCGCGTCCGATCCAGAGACAACGTTGAACGGATTCACTGCAAGCGATATGTAGCCTTGCATCCGGTCCACGACATCAGCGACACAGTATGCCCAGTAGGCCGCCGAGAGCAGATACATGAAGAGAGTGACAATGAACATGGTCCTGTTGACCTTGGTCTTCAACCCGCGTTTTCTGTCTCAGGGATCCGACATCCAGCTATTTCACAAGAGTGGGAGAAGAGCTTACAACAGCATACGAGTCGACATCGAAATTAAAACAGTGTATACTCCTGCCCCAGATGATTTATGAACCAGGACGCGAAGATACGATTGTCACTCACCAAAGAAGAATGTCTGCACCACCAGGCCGAAAACAAAATACATGACAGCTTGTCCAGATCTCATAATCCCCTCCACTGGCCTAGGAGCAATTGTAAGAGACATGACTACCAGTAATTAGCGGAAGAGCAGAGCAACTGAAGAACTTGAAAGAAAGACGTCCCTCACAGAGGGACGGGAGGGTATAAGGAGCTGAGGGAAAAAGGTGGCCACTGGAATTGACAAAGACTCGGAATGTGCGGGTCGGAACGCCCAGTCACAAAAGGTGATATTTTATCGGGCTTTACACGTCCCCATTTTATCTTGTTGATCATCAGATTCTGGAGTAATCCCTGCGGTGATATATAGACAGTCAGCGCGGCCTGTGGGTTCTTCCAACTCTGTTATTTTTTGAGCGAGGGTATGCTGTTGAGCACGTCGGCATTTCTGCGTTGAAAAGTGATTTTTGAACCGTGGGAACATACAGTATTGATAGGCGTCAGGAAGTTGCGACGGGCAACATCCGTTAAAACCTTTCCATTTACGTATTCTTCACATCCCGAACACATCTGAATCGAGATCTCTGTCTCTCAGTTCGAGGATTTCCGTACAATGAAATTCAATCTTACTGACTTTGGTTAAGTATGTGGCACTTGACCCATGCGACGCGGAATCGGGTGCGCAGAGACCGCTCACGCGTCACGTACCCGTTGTGAAACTTGGTCTGCGTGCCTCGCGCTCACAAAGACAGAGCTTACAAAAAAAAAACCGTGTATGTCGATCTATAAAAATAATGATATAACCCTAATACCCCAAAAGATACAACCACAGTAATATCGTGACACAGTATATAACCCAATAATTTAATAAGGACGGCCCTGTGCGCGACCTCCGAACGGGCGAGTGAGCGTGCGACGACCTCAAGAGCCAGCGTCCGTGCGACCTTCTTACGCGCCAGCGACCGTAGCGTCGGGCTTGACGAACCCGTAGCTGTCGGCGATGAACGTTGTCTCGGCGTCGCCGCAGTTGGTTGCGTTCGCGGCGGTGAGCGGTGTAGCAAAGAGCGCGCAGGTGAGCGTAGTAGTAATGTTCTGGTGTCATGCGGTCAGTACTCATCCGACACCAGTAGGCAACAAAAAAAAAGTACCGTCGGGTCCGGGTTCAAGTTCAAGCTCGAGTCGAAGAACGCTGTGGGTCACCGTCGGGATGTAGCAGATTTTTCAAAACGCGGGCGACGTACAGTTTGCGAATATGCATCCGGGGATTGTGTCGCACATCACCGCGCAGCCTGTGTATGTGGTTCAAGGAAAGAAAGAAAGAGACGAAACCCCGAGACGCACCCGCGAGGTTCTCGACGATTCCAAACGTGATGTAGAGTGGCGAAGTAGCCTGTACTGTGCACGTGAGGTTGGTGAATGTGAAGTTGAATCCCGTGGGCGCCGGGAGCAGGTCATTGTCTCCGCATCCGTCGTTCCCGCCGCCGCCGCCTCCGCCGGGGCCTGGGCCGCCGCCTCCGCCACCACCGCCGCCACCTCCCCCAGAATTTCCTGGTCCGCCGGCGAGGTCATCGGGCGGGCATGTGCTGGTCGACACGGCTGAGCTGGTCGGTGCGGATGAGCTGATCGGCGCAGATGTGATCGTGGACGAGACGGGCGGTGTGGAGTCGGAAGCCGAGGATGAAACGACTGGGGTGGAGGAGATAACCGTGGAAGAAACCACTGTGGACGAGACGACTGGCGTGGACGAGATAACGGTGGAAGAAACGACCGTGGACGAGACGACCGTGGACGAGATTACCGTGGACGAGACGACGGGCGTGGAAGAAACGACGGGCGTGGAAGAGGCAACGGGCGTGGAGGAGACAACGGGCGTGGAAGAGACGACGGGCGTGGACGAGACAACAGGCGTGGAAGAGACGACGGGCGTGGACGAGACAACGGGCGTGGAAGAGACAACGGGCGTGGAAGAGACGACGGGCGTGGAAGAGATGACCGGCGTCGACGAGGCTGCTTTCGAGGTGGACGAGGCTGCCTTCGAGGTGGACGAGGCTGCTTTCGAGGTAGGCGTGACGGGTGGCGGCGGTGGCGGCGGTGGCGGCGGTGGTGGATACACGGGAGGCGGTCCTACGGGACAGATGTTAAACCCGAATATTTTGCGGAGGATTTCACACAGAGTCTAGACGCGTGTTAGTTCAAGTTGAATTCAAACTAAAGTCGACCCACGGGATCGCCGAAACTTGGCAGCCCGGGGGGTGCACCTCCGGGGTGGCCGTAGTACCATCCGGGCGGGCCAGCGTCCCACGGCGGGATAGGCGCGCCGAAAGAGTTGTCCGCAATGTTGATCGCGGCGGCCAGTGTCGCGTTGTCAGCATCCGGCGGGACCTGAGCAAACACCAGCGAGGAGACGGACGCGGACACGAGGAGGGAGAGGAAACGCATATTGTAACCCTAGTCCTCAGGTCGAGGATTCAGCGCTCTCTTTATATGTACGTACACGGTAGCGTCCAATGCTACGCGGCTTGGCATCACAAAAACGTGGGCATGGACCTGGGTTCCACTCGACAGCGATGGCAGAGGAAAAGAAAAACGGCTTGAGGGCTGAGGATGGGACGCGTTCGCGGCGTGCCAAGGCGGCGAGCATTACAAAGGCGTGGGCATGAATCAAGCATCATCGCTTACGAACACATCTTGTGCTTCCCACACACAATATTTAGTCCCTGGACCTGGCTTCTTTCCGCATGGAACAGAGAAACAAAGGCGCCGCTTTTCACTGAACAGGGACAATCACTAGTGGGATCAAAGAGGGATTAAACAATTTCTCGCATTGGCACTGATGCCTCCTATCACATTGTACCCATTCGTAATTTTCTTCCCATCTTCTGTCATTCAACTTGATTTAAGGTATTTCTTTTCCTCATTAAGCCAAGACGCTCCCACAGGTCAGACCGGGCTCACGCTCTGCTCAAACTGCCTCAGTCGGTTTTAGTTCAAAAGTTGAGTTAAAAAACGACAGCCAACCT